TATAAGCACCACCCGGTTATAAGCACCACCCGGTTATAAGCACCACCCGGTTATAAGCACCACCCGGTTATAAGCACCACCCGGTTATAAGCACTACCCGGTTATAAGCACTACCCAGTTTTTTTGTAATAGTCTAGCCAAAATATGCGATCGCCATTATTTCATTGGTCATTCTGTTTATATATAAGAACTGCCATCTATTATTTAAAGTGTTTCTAGTATAAATGAAGGGAATAAGTAAATACATGGATAAGTGAATGATCAATAAGAACTGAAAAACCTACCGGTGGTTATAGCCTCCTACAAGAGAAATAGACCCTGCCTCAGCGTCGATTAGGAATTGAAGAACCCGTATCTGTTGCCACGAAATATTAATAGATAGCTAAAACCATTCCGACAATGCCATGTTTCCCGGATCTAGACCTGAGTGAACAAATGAAGAAAAAGAATAGATGAATAAATAGATTAGCGATCTAGACCCTGCCTTAACATCGATCAAGGATTGAAGAACCAGTATCTGTTACCACAAATATTAACAGATCACTGAAAACATTCTAAATAGTGCCATGTTTCCCGAATCTAGACCTGAGCAAAGAATATGAGCAAATGAAGAGAAAGGAAAGAGATGGATAAAAAATGGATTAAATGGTAAATAAAAAACTAAGTGAATAAATAAATAATAGATAAGCGATCTAGACCCTCTTCAGCATTGATTAAGAATTGAAGAACCCATACCTGTTGCCACGAAATATTGACAGATTGCTGAAACTATTTCAATGGTACCATGTTTCCCAAATCTAGATCTAAGTGAAGAATATGGATAAATGGAAAAAAAGGAAAGAGATAGGGGAAAAACAGATTGAATGGTGAATAAAGATAAGTGAATAGATAAATAAATAGATGAGTGATCTAAACCCCGCCTCAGCGTCAATCAAGAATTGAAGAACCCGTATCTGTTGCCACGAAATATTTAGATCGCTGAAACTATTCTGAACAGTGTCATGTTTCCCGAATCTAGACCTAAAAACCATACCTGTTGTCACGAAATATTCAAATTGCTGAACCATTCCGAATGGTGCCATGTTTCTTGAATCTAGACCAGAGCGAAGAATATGGACAAACGAAGAGAAAGGAAAGAAATAAGGGAAAAACGGATTGAATGGTAAATTAAGAAGGTTCATTAAAAAAAATATGTATATTAAATAATTTCATGTGATATATTTTCTGTGTAGGAAAATAATAAACATTTTGATTTTTATAGTAATTAAATGCGCTGACGGAACTTTATTGTAATAATAAATTATGCATGAATAAGCAGACCACGATGTATTTACATAAATGAGAGCTTTGGTAATTTATATTCGTATATGCTATATACATTTAATGTACTTATTTTTATCTGTTAAGAAATAACACTTATTGATTTTAGGTTATCGAAATAGATATGTAAGCAAGTGACAGATGAACAGATAGGTGAGTGATCGAATGGCTCAAATGAATTGGTGGAGAAATAGGTAGGTAGGAAAATAGATAAGCAAGATATATTTAAATAAGGAAACGTCTAAATGGGTAGATGCATAAGCGGGGTATATGAGAGATAGGCGAACAAATGAAATAATCAAATGAGTAAATGAAGGGATAAATGAGCGATTCAACAAATAACTTGAGAACATGAAATTTTAGTAAATTTATATTTTTTATTAAACATTAAAAAAAAAAGTTATATAAACTAAAATAGAATTTTTTTATTCATCTTTACTATCTTCATTATTATTGAATTCTATTTCTGTTGCCGATTCATCATCTAAATGTACTACTTTTTCTTCTCTTTTTTGTTCCTCATCCGATTCATCCGATTCATATAGAAAATGATCTTGTAAGCCATCATCAGCATTGGAAATGCCACACTTTAGAAAAGATTTTATAACCATTTGACTTGGTATCTCTTCCCAAGCTTGAAGAATCCATTTGCATATGAGTTTGTAAGATGGTTTTTTTAAATTTCCACCTTTAGTCAAAATAACCTCATTCATTATCCACATATTCCACTTTTTTCAAAGATTATCTTTAAAAGATTTATTTAAGCATACATCGAGTGGTTGTACTATAGATGTAAGACTCCCGGGAATAATTGCTGGTATACAATTCAATTCTTTATATGTATTTTTGACAGATTCAGTTTTGTGTCCCTCAAAAGAGTCTAAAACCAATAAATTTTTTTTTCTTAATAAACCTCCGGTTCGATAATGCCAAATTTTATTTAGCCAAACTTGCATTAATTTTTCATTCATCCAACCTTTTTCACTTATTTCAACAATAATATCTTGAGGTAAATCTTTAGGAAGACAATTGCCTTTAAAAATCACCATTGGTGGAAGCTTTACTCCATTAGCCAAAATACTTAGTACGCAGGTAAACTGGTTTTTTTTATTTCCCGTTGTTTTGATTTGTACAGTTTTTGTACCCTTTTGATTAACTGTTAAGTTTGTTATCATATCGAAATATACAGGTGTTTCATCCATATTGCCAATTTGATCCATAGTATAGTTGTACAATCTTCTTTGTTTTATAATAAATCGTTGAAAAGACAATAATTTATCATCCAAATCTTCTGGAAGTTTTTGTGAAATTTTTGTATGCCGACGAAGAGAAAGATCATGTCAATGTAAAAATCTATAGAACCAATGATCGGATGCTAAAAAATTACTAGAATTTGGATATTTTTCATTAAATTCATTTTCTAACAAATATTTTATTTGTGTCTTAACATTATTAGCTGTTATGCAAAATGCATTCTGCTGTAATTCAAGAATCCATTGTTTTAAAACAATTTCGACATCTGGATAGTATGGATGGCAACTGGTATCAATTTTTCGAGCTTTTGAATGTGCAGTTTTCAACCTTTCTTCTTTTTTTTTTCAACATAAAACCATAGAATGATCGATATTATATTTCCTCACTGCTGTTCTTATACCAGTTTTTTTTGCATAAGTAACAACATTTAATTTTTCTTTTGCTGTATAAGAATTTTGGATTGAATGATTTATTAATTTTTTTTTAGGCATTTTTTTGCTCAAATCAGAAAGAAAGTTATGGAAAAATTTTTATTGACAGGTATTCAGGACTTTGCTTTCAAGTTAAATCGCTTCCAAATTGGTTATTAATTATACGTTTAAATCAATATTTTCTTGTTTCCATGTGGTATGTTCTATATTGCCATAATTGTTTTGATCTGGTTATATTCTAGGTATACTCCAAATGTGATAAAACTAACTATTGCCATTACTTAATCCATATAGAATAGTAGGGAATCCATTGCAACATATTCTTTTATTTTCTATAATATGTAGTCTATGCAGTTATAGTAAATTTCAATCGAAACATTCATATTGTATAGTTTACTAATTACAAATATATATATATCATACTTCATATATGATGTCATAATGATTTTTACGATCCTAAATTATTATTTATTTATCAACTCGGTTATAAGCACCACCTATAAAAATAAATAAAAAATAATGATTAAAAAATGGTGCTTATAACCAGAAGAATACGGTAATGCTGTTTTATCTGTATTAAATATATCTTGTAATTAAAATTTAGATAATTTTTAATACAATTGAATTCTTTCTTCAGAAAGTAAATTTAAAAATATACTATTTGCTTCATTACAAATTCTATTACTATAAATATTATTTCTTTTTTTGAATTTTCTAACCATTCATTTAAAAATACTAAAGATTCATTATTACTATTTTAAAATTGTGCAAAAAAATTAACTTTTTCTTTAATTAATATTTTTGATATTATTAATTCTTATATAATTGCTGATTATAATCAAAGTTTTAAAGCATGATCTAATAAAAGATGATAAACTTTAGAATGTTTAAATACCTTTATATTAATTTGAATATTATCTATTATAAGCTATTTTTTTTTTATGAATAAATTTTTGAAATTGTTGTTCTATTAATATTCAAACCTTTTGTTTTTGAATTAAAATATTCTGCTACTTTGTTTTGAGATACATGTTTATATTCATTTATATATAAATATATATATTTTTTAAAATTATTACTAATGGCTGTTTTTATTCTTTTATTAAATAATATCATAATTAGGGTTCCTAACAGTATCACTTTGATTCCAGTTCGATACTTAAATTTACTATAAATTTATATGAGTAGGTCACAACCCATATATTAAATTTACTATAGATTAGTACTATTTTGATACCACTTTGATACCAATTCAATACTTTTTGAAGCCTTAATCATAATAAAAAAAAATTTTTTTTTGTTATTATAATTATATATAATATAAATTATATGATTTTAATATGCTTATTAAGAGGTATTTTAGTATTATAAAATAATAAAATAAATTTATAAAATATGTGATAATGATTATAATTAATATATAATTTACTAGAGAAAAAATTAATAATAAAATAAATGGAAAATTATATATACAGTATATGCTAAAAGAGAGATGAAAATTAAGAGAGAGAAATATAAGAGAGATATGAATATATATAATTTTTTAATAAATTAATAAATTAAAATTAGAAATAAAATTTTAAAAAATTTTTTTGTATTCTTATTTTCAAATCAAATTTTTTAATTTTTAATTTTTATTTTTTAATATCTAATCAGGCCATATATTAAAGTTTATTTATATTCAAGCTCTCATGGAATTGAATAAACCCCAGTACAAAATATTCAAGATACATAAAATCTTTATATTAATTTTCACCTTTTACTTTGTTTGTCTTTATAGACTATGTCACCGATTTCGATTTTGCATCCTGCTATTTCATGATCACTATGGGTTATTGCTTCTGACTTAGTTATATACATCTTGACCAGATTCTACTCTTCATCTGGTGACATCCAAATTTGATTGATCCTTGTTTTAGTATTTCTGCTATTTTGCCATGTGTATTTTTCTTGGCATGGATGTACTTCCTTGAATGTATCTATATATCCGTTGTATTGAAGAAATTTGAGAATACGTAATGTCGGATTGTTCGATTTGTTTTGGTTTTTGGCCTGTATTATTTTATCTAACCTTGGGTTTGGTATTGAGTTAAAATCACCCAAGATAATGATTTTGTATTTACTTTTCTTTGCTGCTTGAACTCTTTCTTCTACCCATCATATTGTTAGGTCTCTTTCTTTGCCGAGGGCTGCTGGTATATACACTACTATAATTGTGATCACTGTTTTATGTTTGAAGTGTAGATCGATGCTGATGCCTCTTCCTGTATGTTTAGTAATTTTTCCCACATGTGCTGCAATATTATTTTTGATTATTATTGCAATTCCTGCTTCTTTGTTGTCACTGGACCACCAGGTTCTATAGTTGGGACATTTCCAGAATATTGTGTCTTGTTTTATGACCTGGGTTTCTGTAATCACTGCTATATTGATTTGTTGATCTTCACAGTATGTATTTCATTGGAGTCTTTTAATCTCTTCATTAATACCCCTGATGTTATGTATTATAATATGTCAAATGTTAGCTGGCTTGTTATGTTCTTTTGTCTTATTTATATGTGTTGTGTGTTGTGTATATGTATTCAAAACGGGAGATCTTATGTGTTTGTTATTTGTTGTCAAATAGTTTGTTGTTTTTTCTTTATCTGATTGTATTTCTTCATCTGAATAATTTTCAATTGAATTGTGAAAGATTGTTAGTTATGCTGTGCGTATTGGTACTGGTATTTGGATTGTTTCCCATTATTGGAGGTTGGTTATGCTATTTGTGTTTCCAGGGACGAGATTATGAATCGTGTTCATAAAATTATTCATGGTCTGATTGGTGTTTTGAATTGTTATATGAATTTGTCTTTGTTGTGCTTGAAGGTCTTGGATTTCACTATTGTTAGAGTATTTTCCTTTTTGGTTGCTTTCTGTTTGGTTATCATCTGTATTAGACTCTGA